AGGGGACTGATGGGAGCTGTAGTTTATCCTGTAGCCAAAGAGCACACTGAACCCCACCAATGATGCATCTAGAGCAAATGTGTTCAACATGACAAACTTTAACTACTGTTGGAGCTTCAGAGGGTTAACCTGGCATGATGAGAGTTGTAATTCATCCACAGTCTTATGCATTTTGTAAACTTTTTAAAAAAATGACATTTTCAAAAAAACTGGGCAACACTGGGTACCCAAGTTAGTAACAGAACTGTATCAATGCAGTTACCACTGACAATAGTTTCTATACTCAATGTTGCAGTGATCTCTCCCTTGTCATGCATGATGTGATGATACATTGGAAATGGAAGATTACACTAAGGAAGTGTTCTATACAAAATGAAATGCAAGAAAACAATAATAGTAGTAGTAATAATAATAATAATAGTTATTAGCATCATCATTGCAATCATTATTATTTCTTACTCGTTCTCCATATGGATTGAGGCGGAGAACACCAGATTAAAATATAGACACACAACACAGCTGAAAACATGAACACCAATTAAAAATACATAATCAGTTAAAAGAGCATAACATGTTTAAGAAGCATAAAGACATAATATATTCATAATTTATAAACTCGCAATTTAAAAAACCTATCTCTATAGGCTTGCCAGAAGAAATTGGTCATTAATGCTGTTTTAAACAAACCCAGCAGTTGAATCGCTTCTGGCAAGTCATTCCACAAGTTAGCCTTAAATATGTTAGTTTTGACACAAGTCCTACATGTTTATCCCTCTGAAAGTGAGAAAGAGCAATAGTGAGAGAATCAAGTACATATCAAAATCTAAAATGGCCAGATAAATCTGTGAGGACCTTTAGGTATGTTAATTCTGTAATGGATTTTAACAGAAGTAGCATTTTACAGGGAATCATGCTGACAGAGGCTAACCTAAAGACAAATTTGAGGAGGGTGCTTGGAGGGTGCTTGGATGTGTTATGTAGATCATCTGGTTTGGTAATTGACTAGGGACATGATGTTTCTTGGTACTTGATAATGACCCATCTCTGAATAATTCTACCAACAAATAGGTTAGCTGCAGTGATGTGGTACTGCTAATGTCCTAGGTCCAAGCAGATAACACTATGTAACATGATTTTTGATCCTAATCATCTCCTAATTGGTTCTATCATAAAAACATGTTTCCATAAACATGAAAAAACTTTATTAAACTGCAAAAACTTAGTTTCTGTGGGACATCCTGCAGCACATTTTGCTATAGTTTTTAATAAATACCTCATCAAATCTCAATTAATTCAATATAGTTGTGGCAGCCACAAAGACAAAGTTTCTGGAGTATAACAACTACTTTCAAAGTAAGTACCGCACAATTAAACAGGAATAACACTTTCAAACCAGGAGTAGAATGTTGTACAAATTGTGTTACATAGTGTAATGTGCAAGTTGGGTCAATTCAGCCCCAGCATCTTAGTTAATTTAAACTTGAAACTAAATAAATCTAAAGTTCTATACTACTTGCCCTCTGTATCCATGGATTCTGCACCTATCTATTTAAGCATCCATGGCTTGAAAACATTTAAAACAATTCCAAAAAAGGAAACCATGATTTTGCCGTTTTATGTTTACTATGTCATTGTATATCACAGGACTTGAGCACCCACGGATTTTGTATACATGGGGGTCCTGGAACCAAACACCAGGGGATACCAAAAGGACATTGTATAAGGAACGTTTATATTTACATAAAGATCTCAATAATGTTAGTATAGCTGCTATCTGGTCACTATGATTCATTATTTGTTGTAGGGTACTGAATGCATGTTTACCCCATCGTGTTATACTTGTATGAAATCATAATACATTTTCACTAAAGGACATATTTAAGTTGAGTAATCAGCAAAGTAGTTTTTATTTCATGCATAAAAATATTAATAGCATCATTAAAACTTTTGAATGAATCCATCCAATGTTCCCATACTCATCTTTACCCCTCCCCATATGATTTTATGTCATGCATCATAGTGTCCTTGAACTTTAAAATAAAAGACATTGAAATACCTAGATGAAGTCTTGAATTTTTATTCAAACATATAATTAAATGGCTTATAAAATTAAAGCAGATCAGGCTGTTATATAGAGTAAGAAATAAAAAAATAAAAAATAATTATACTCCTAAGTGGTTATCCAAAATTAAATGAACTCTATTACCTTTTTGTTTTCATTATATTAGACACAGAAGTACTACTATGGTAAAACTTAAATCATTTACCATTCTTATTTTGTTGCCATTCATATTAATAAAGATCTTTTTTCATCATGGAATTTAACAGAGAAACTGTACTTTCTTTTCATGAAAGGTATTAACATGTCTATTCTTGAAAGGGGACAACAGTTTGGCAAGTATTTCTTTCTTTAAATCGCAACTTTGAGCAAATTTAATATGGTATGAGGCTTAGTGCTGACATAAGTGGCCTTGTCTTGCATAGAACAATCAAAAAGGAATTCTGAAGGGCAGAATATTTCAATGACTTCATCCTCTACTTGTTCTCCAAAAAAGTATAATTCCCTAAATTTGCTCCTTCTTCTTTGTCTAGAGCAGTGGTTCTCAACCTTCTTAATGCCACAACCTCTTAATATATTTCCTAATGTTGTGGTGACCCCCAACCATGAAATGATTTTCATTGCTACTTCATAACTGTTATCAATCATAATGTAAACATCTGATATACAGGATGCATTTTCATTCACTGGACCAAATTTGGCACAAATATCCGATATGACCAAATTTGAATACTGGCAGGGATGGGGGGATTGCTTTTGTCATTTGGGAGTTGTAGTTGCTGGGATTTATAGTTCACCTACAATCAAAGAGCATTCTGAACTCTACCAATGATGGAATTGAACCAAACTTGGCACACAGAACTCCCATGACCAACAGAAAATAGTGGAAGGGTTTGGTGGGCATTGACCTTGAGTTTTGGAGTTGTACACAGACAGAGGTTGACCAAACATGGCACGAATACTCAATATGCCCAAATGAGAACACTGATGGAGTTTGGGGAAAATAGACCTTGACATTTGGGAGTTTTAGTTGCTGGGTTTTATACTTCACCTACAATCAAAGAGCATTCTGAAGCCCACCAACAATAGAATTGGGCCTAACTTCTCACACAGAATGCCCATGTACTGAAGAGACTCACTAGTATGAGCATCCCTCCAGCCTTTACACTCTCCCTTGCCTGCACATGTGTACCATGCTGCCATGTGCCAAGCTCACCTGCTCTCCCATCCCCACTTGGAGTCTCAAAAACAGCCTTCCCCTTGGCTGAGAGGCCAAGGAGGGCTTTTGGTGGGAGGATTCCAAAAAGGAAGAGAAAGACAGGAGAGATCTTCAGCTTTCTCTGTCAGAGGGGTTCCTAAGATCATCAGAAATATATGTTTTCTGGTGGTCTTTGGCGATCCCTCTGAAATCGCCTCATGACCCCCCAAGGAGTCCTGACCCCCAGATGTAGAAATGCTGGTCTAGAGACCATCATTTTTTTTCAAGGAATAACAAGCAGAGTTACTAAAAAACAGACCTATGGATGAAGTCCAACACAAACCATAATGCCTTTTCTGAGAACAATTTATACGAAAAGGAGATTCTGAAGAGGTACAGTTATGCCTTGCCTTCTCTCTTAGAGACCAGATGAAAAACAGTAATTTATGAAAGCAGCATAAAGCCTGACCTTTCTGCAATACGTTTTTACTGACCAGCTATAAACACTATTTATTTATTAGTTTATTTATTATCTTGACTTTCTCACAACACATAATTCAGGACAGCTAGCCATTAATCTATACAGAAGTAAAAGGAAGTTACCCAAACTTCATCACATCCTAATACAGCCAAGAAATGGAATATAACTTAAGACTGTGCAAAATTATAGGGCAGGTCTCTATAAACAAGAACTGACTCAGTTCTCGAGTTTCTGAATTTGGATGTACAAAATAGGTACTATATTAAGCTAGGGGGATGGAAACTGAAATTTTCAAAGGTAAAATGAGCTCTCCTCTCCTCTTCTGGTGTCCACAAGTAAATCCCTTTGCTTTCTTACAAGAAAATGAATACTTGGAATTCATCTTCAAGGGGCTACTGCTAGTGGTACACCTTGACACTATGTTATAAGTCAAGTGGTAGATGACTGGTTTCATTGAAAGGGACATGCAAGTATATAAGACCAGGATGCAACTCATATGAATCAATTCCTTAAGACTCATTTTGTCAGATTAACCCTTTTCCCATCAGATATTTGGGTATGTCAATCATTTGATTATTCTGATGCGTAACCTCTACTCAGGAGAAGAGGCCACCATCAGGACAGAATCTGGAGAAATTTAATTGTTTCCAATGAGAAAAGAGGTCAAGCAAGACTGCATTTTATCAGCCTATTTAATGTGTGTATGGTGAACATGTCATAGGTAAAACTGGATTACACTGAGAGAAAGGAGGAGAAAAAAAATTGGAGGAAGGAACATCAACAATTTAAGACATGCAGAGGATACCACTGGTAGAAAATGTAAAAGACTTGGAGTGATTATTGAAGAAAGTCAAGGAAAAAAGTGAAAAGGCTGGTTTACAGCTAAGCATTATCAAAACAGAAACTAGGATTTGGAAGGGGAGCTGCGTATGAATTAGATAAGATCCTTACAAATAACGATGTAGCATTGAATACCAAGGTTAGAAGCGACATGGTATTGTTTTTATTTATTTTTTTGATGTGGCAATATGGTACAGCCCCATAGGGGAATGTGCCTATGAAATGTCCACCACCAGTACATGTTTGTGAGTTCTCTTGTTTATAAATTTACTCAAGACTTTTGTGCATTACTGTTCATTCAGAGGACAAAGGCAATGTGAATTGGTTCTTGATTGACGAAGACATGGTCCTGAAAACATTTTTGATATTTTTAATCAAACAAGTAGTGTATTTAATTAAAAAGCATTAGTCTTACAACCTACCTAATTCTGGTGAGGTTAAGAGTCGACCTCCACATTTTTGTTCTGTTTGACGAAGCTTGTTCATATTCAGTAGCTGTGTGACTTGTGGTACATCTGAATTTAACTGACAGGTTCGGGGAATAGTATCTATTGGTCCAGAAACTGTGAAATGAAAAATCATTGTAAATCCTTGGGGAAAAATTGCAAAAGCATTACTTATGTATTTCATTTGTATGCCTCCTTTCTCCCAGGGTGGGACCCAAGGTGGCTCCCAAAGTAAATAAATAAAAATAAGTTTTTTAAAAATAAAAATAAAAACATTCTCACATCTAACAATATAAAATCGTTTAAAAGACAAAACTCGTGGCCTTTAGGTCATTTCTGACATAGCAACTCTATGCTGATACTGGTGAGTTTTCATGGTAAGATTAGTTCAGAGAGGGTTTCCCTGAGGCTGAATGGGGTGTGATTTTCCCAAGTTTTCCAGAGTGCTTCCATTAACAAATGGGGATGTGAACCTTTGTTTCCCAGGGGCTTAGTTTAACCTCACTGGCCCTATTGGGAGTAATACAACCCACAAAACAATTACCGGGACCCCAAAAACTTCAAAACATATAGCATCCATATGTTAAAAGGTTTTAGCCTCTGCAGTTACAAAATTTAAAACACTATGGCACTTGAGAAATGAAAAAAGTAAAGCACATAAAAAGCTCACATGTGTTTCATATCAAAATCCTTCATTTCTTAATTTGTTACCTTGTGTGTGTGTGTGTGTGTTTCTGGTGAAAACCTATTACAGTATTTCTAAATTAGTAATCAACAATCCTTAGAATCTTCATTACTTCAAATGGATAGGACTACTTAACTTTTAAATATGCCAGAGTGCTCAGAAACAATGCTGCTGCATCCTTCCCCCATTCTTGTCAATATAAGATGTGTGACTACTGACACATTTTAAACCAATGAGGTTTGTCTAAAGTAACTGATATGATCTCAGCAATGCAGACAGTAGCTAGGTTACAAACAAGA